CGCTAGTAGTAACAAGTGCCTTACTGGTAGTAACAATAAGCTATTAGAATTCAGCTATTAGGTAGATAGCTATACCTCTACCTCACGACGCGTGAGCGAGCGAAAAGGCCATTGGCCACGAACACCTTTCTCTTTTTGTGCGTCGTATTGGACGCGTCCATCCCAAACCCGACCGTCCACTCATGTGTGTTTGGCTTTGTCTCGACTGGTTTGCCCTTTGTTGAATCTGTTCAGATTTCCTTCACACTTCAAGTTAACATGTCGTCGTACAACATTTTGTGCGAAGCAACCTGTACTTACGGGCCACTCTGTAGTGTGCAGTGTGTGGACTGGGGGCTGAAGTCTTATGCGGAAAGCTTGTTTTGAAGACATGAAGGTTGACTTGTTCTTCTTCTCTATCTCGTGTCGTTGCCGCCACAGTGTTTTTATGTTAAAGCAGAGCGGTGTTTTTCATTCAAAGAGGTATTACGGTTGAGGTTTTCCATCGCGCCGATGCGTGCCTCATCGTCGGGGCGTTCAAGTGGGATTGTATGAAAAAGACAGGGACGTCATTCGAGAGCCCATCATCTTGATGCATTGCGTACGTTTTCAGAAGGAATTTGATTGAGACAGCATCTGATTGGACTGGATGATGCAAAGGCTGAATATCCAAAAACCTTTTTTGCTCATGCCCGTGCAACGTAGATTCAACTCCATGCCTATTTATCTTATTGTGCCTTGCAGCACTCATATCTTGTTTGGGGACGGGCTGTGTGTGCGCTGCAGTATCCTGTGCTAGTCAGCGAGCAGTTTCAGACAGGAAGGACAATATAGTCAACAAACAGAAAGGAGCTACTAGTAACAAGTGCCACGCTACTAGAAACAAGTGCCTTACTAGTAGTAACAAATTAGAGGTAGAGGTATAGCTAGTATAGGCAGAGGTAGGTAGGTGTCGTTTTGCTGTTCCATCCGAGGCTTCTCTCCCTCCTTCGCGCTTTGGCTTTGCAGTCCGGAATCTCTCTTCGGTTTTTTAAAGAAGAGAAAGACTTCAGGAGAAGTCAAATGGATAAATATATTCGAAAACAAAATTGAGAGCCACGTGTTTTTGTGAGTTTTTACTTTATACTTTATGAGTTCTTCACACTAGACTTTGGGATCTGATATGGATCCGAAAGGCGCCTTGCGAAATGGAAGGGCTGGAGACGAGCAAAACTGGCGAAACAGCCGAACGAAACGAACTTATGAAGGGATGCTTTTAGGAAACAACATTTAATTTTAATTTAATGTAAGCGTCCTTGCTCCTAGTAGTAAGGCCAGGAGCCCCTAGTAGCGTCCTTGCTTTTTAGGAAACGAAGTTGTGAGATGTAGTTTCCCAAATCATTAGTGCGAGCGCTTCCTTGAAGTTCGCGTGAGCTATCCTGCATCCATATGTAGAAGCAAACTTTTAGTAGCGAACTAATCGCCCGTAATTACGTATTAGGAGGGCAGGGGACCCCACCGGCGTTCAAATGCCAAAAAACGCACTTTCGAAGTCATTAATAGCGAACTTTGTTACTACTAGTAAGGCACCTGTTACTACTAGCGTGGCACCTGTTACTAGTAGCTTCTTGTTACTACTAGCAAGGCACCTGTTACTAGTAGCGATGCACTTGTTACTAGCGAACCTTGCTTGTCGGCTTGTCCGTTTCGCTGTGGCAGTCTCACCCCATTGGCAGACGCCCAGTTACGCCTCTACTAGCGATGGCCTCCCACCAACCTTCTTGTGTTTTTATGTCGCGATGCCAATCCAAAGGATGGCCTCTAACCTGCTAGTGGCATCGAGTTACTACTAGCTTCTTGTTACTACTAG